TGAGCTCCTAAGCAAGTATATTATGTGTCATGTTGGACAGACACAGGAAGTCATTGAGCCCTGTTGGAAAGGTTTGGAGTTGGGTACCCAAACACTATGGCCACCCCACAACAATAAATGAGACTCGCTCCTTCCCTTCCACCACGGCTCCTCATATTTGTTGGCCTGGCCTGGAGATTCAGGGGAGCCCAGCCATTTCCTGGCACAGCAGCTCATTCTATGAGACCTGGCAAGCCTGATCTTCATCATCAACACCGTGAGCACTCCATGAACTTGCAGAGTACAAGTGGGGAGAAAATATGCCACTTCAAAGAAACTTCCCGTCCAACCTCTCACACCAGTGCCACAACCGAGGAAATGGGAGATGGACAATGATTTGGAGATGAGCGTACATTAAAATTCATGTGGATCCATGCCATGGATAGATGGCAAAAATACACTGGTACTGCAAAATCTGCTTGAGGGCAGTGGCTGCCTCTGAGTGCCTAGTGCAGTGATGGTGAACCTTTTTTGAGCCTGAGTGCCCAAACTCCAACACAAAATCAACTTGCTTATTTCAAAGTGACAATACTGCAATTAAAACCTGAATGCAGAAGTTTTAGGTTAGAAAAAACAACTGCTCCTATATTGCAAGGGTTAAATGCTTGTGTCGCCGCCAACCACCCCACCCCCGTCTATGGGTGGTATTAACAAATAAATACATACTGGTCCTCCAATCCCCCATTGGGCTAGACTGATAATGGTCACCATTGCACCCCTCTGCCAGCCCACTGCACCAGCAGAGGGGAGTGCCAAAATCCAGGATTGGAGGATGGGTAAGTATTTCTCTATGGCGACTTATGGCTCGTGGGCCAGCAGAGAGGGCTCTGTGTGCCAACCGTGGCACGTGTGCCATACGTTCGCCATCACTGATCTAGGGAATGGGCGAGTGCACAGAGGGGGGAGGAAAAGGGAGTGCGCTGCTCCTGCGCAACACCTGTGTGGGTGCGGAGCTAAACTAGGCTGAACTGCAATTCGTGCCCATCTCTAAAAGTGTACCTCTGGCCATGGTTGTGCTGAGTTTTTAAAAAATCACTACATTCCTTCTAATTCCGAACCTCCTGCTTTAACCACAGCCTCAGATAGTTACTTGTTGGAATTTCCATTCCAAGAGTCGCCCCAGTCGGTCCCAGTTGGGGGATTCTGGGATTGTAGTCCAAGCAAGCAATTTTCCTAAGTATGGGCCCTGATCAGATGACACCCAATGACATGCTTTCCCAAGAGAGACTGCACATCTGTTCTTAAGAAGCTGATGAAGTAAGACAGACTAGGAAAGACAGACTACCTGAGGTGGAAGCAGATGCCTGAACCGGCCAATGCCATGGGTTGGACAAGACCTGTAGTGCCTCTGGCAGCTAAGTAGGGGGTTCCCTTTAGGAAACAAAACAAAACAAAACATTCATTCATTTAGTTAGTTCATAGGTTTCTTTTCTCCTGTTAAAGGGACCCAAGGTGGCTCACAATATTAAAAACAATAGAGTTAAAAACGTAATAAACATTAAAAACAATTAAACAATATGCTAATTAAAATACAATTGAACAATTACAAGCAGGTAAACATTAAAAACTATCTTCACTTAAAAAAAAGGGAGCATTCAGGGACTCCGTCATGATTGTTAAAAGCCTGCCTGAAAAAGTGGGTCTTCAGCTGTCGGCGGAAAGATAGAAGGGAAAGGGCCACCCTGATCTCCCAAGGGAGAGCATTTCATCACCTGGGAGCAGCCACAGAGAAGTCCGTCTCTCATGTCCCCATCAGCCATGCCTGCACTGACAATGGGACCGACAGGAGGGCCTCCTCTGATGATCTTAAGCATTGAGTAGGCTCATATGGGGAGATGCAGTCCTTGAGATACTCTGGACCCAAGCCTTATAGGAATTTATAGGTTATGACCAGTACTTCGTAATAGGCTGAGCACTCATAGACCTCATCCTCTGAACTGGCCATAGCAGATGCCTGGAAATCAGTCAACCTCCATAAAGACATGATCAAAATTAGCCTACTTTGATGAAACTTTAAACCACTCAACCAGAGTCTTTCCAGCTGCATTTTAAAGCAATGGTGGGTTTTGATAGGAATTTATAGGTTATGACCAGTACTTCGTAATAGGCTGAGCACTCATAGACCTCATCCTCTGAACTGGCCATAGCAGATGCCTGGAAATCAGTCAACCTCCATAAAGACATGATCAAAATTAGCCTACTTTGATGAAACTTTAAACCACTCAACCAGAGTCTTTCCAGCTGCATTTTAAAGCAATGGTGGGTTTTGGTTCTTCAGATATTTTGGATTTCAGCTCCCAGAAATCCCAGCCAGCCAAATCAGTGGCCGGAGATTCAGGGAGTTGGAATCTAAACCATCTGGAGCGTCAAAGGCTGAGAGCCACTCCTTTAAGAACCCCAAGCTTTCTTGGTAGTTTATCAGGGCTTCTTTGGTCAGAACATGAGTGACGATAAACAGATTTTCTTGAAAGGAAACCTGACTGTTACTTTCCACCTTTCCCCTTGCAATGGGCAGCGAGTCAGCTTCATGTGGGGCAATGGTGTGGGCCAACAGGCTTGGCCATTACCCTTGTTAAGATTAATATTCACCCTAGAATACGCATGAGTCCAGTGAAATGCTCAAGGGCTCAATGGTGGATAAGCATTCTACACAGGCAGTGAAATCCTTGCCCGCGAGACTCCGTGAAGAAAGAGACTATAGCTCCATCGGAGAGCCCATGTTTCTGAAGCAAAATTGGAACAGACAACTAGCATGTGTAGTACGTGATCTTAAGTGGTGGAAGAAGGGAAGGCAAAATACCCAGTTTTTTTTTCCTCTAGATCTACATGGTAGACTGGTGTTCTTAATCTTTTTTCTTTGTTTCTTGACAATCACTTCATGATTTTTCTACCTCTTCTTAGAAGCAGAAAACAATCTGGAAGCTAGCTTTAGAGTTTCTGCAAATATGATTAAGAACCTCCCCCACCCTCCATTTTCTGCTAAATTAGATTTGGTATCCTTCAGTCTCGAGAGACGATGGTAACATGCTCTGAATGGAGGGAGACCACAGCTGCCATACAAGAAGATCTGCAAGCAGGATCTAAAGGCCTTAGGAATGGACCTCAACAGATGGGAAACCTTGACCTCTCAGCGTTCATCCTGGAGGCAGGTGGTGCATCATGGCCTCTCCCAATTTGAAGAGATCCTTGTCCAGTAGGCCAAGGCAGAGAGATCATCCTGAAAACAGCCAAATCAGGGAGCTGGACAGGGGACAGATTGGATTTGTCTTCAATGTGGAAGGGATGGTCACTCTCGAATTGGCCTCTTCAGCCACACGAGCCGCTGTTCCAAGTCCTCCATTCAGAGCACGTGACCATCGTCTCTCAAGACTGAAGGATGCCTACTCTCTTCTCCTGACTAAAGTCTTAGACAGCCAGTACCACACAAAGGAGGACACACTGAAATCTGAGCAAACTTGGTGGGATTGTCTTCAGCATCCACCAAAGGCATGGAAATGGATAAAAATAGTTTAAAGATAAAACAGGCAGTGACTGGACATTGGCTTTCAGATTTATTTATCTTTTTTAATTGGGAGCTGTAGGCGCTGTGATCCCCCTAATGCAAACGCCCCTCTTCCTAGAGGTCTCAAGGAATTAAAAACCACAGGTTGGGTTTTTTTTTAATTAACAAAAATAAAGCTGTGTGGGCCATGGAGAGCTACATGTATGCTGAGGGCCACATCTTCCCTATTCTTGAACAGCTGCTTCTTTAGATGAAGTGACCAGCTTTAAAACTCTTACGGCTGAATACAGTGCTTCTGTATTACTCAGAAGGAAGCCTCATCTAGTTCAACAGGGCCTGTTCTCAAATAAACATCCACCAAACCAATAAATTTATGTATCCCTTAGCAACAGTCCACCAAAAGAAGAAATAAAGTAAGGAAGGAAGAGGGGATGGCACAGAAAGGTTGCCTTCATGATCTGCTTGTGGGCTTCCCAAGCACCTGCTTGGATACTTTGGGAGACAGGAGAAAAGAGGAGAAAGGCTTTTTGATCTGATTTAATATTGATGTCCTTATGGAGAAGAATACAGACTACAGTTTTAAAAAGTAACGTAATTCTGTTCCTCAGCTGTCAATCTGCAAAGACTTGGCATTTTCTATTTCTGAAGAGTACCCAACACTGGTAAGGCACACTGATCATTAATTATGAAGTGAACAAGTATTAATTTAAAATATTTTTACCCCCACCTTTCTCCTTAAAAGGACCCAAGGCAGTTCACATCATTAAAAGATAGGGGTTAACGCGAACAACAGTGAGTATACAGAAAGGAGGAAACGAATACCATACAACCCCAACCCCCCCAAAAAAACCAGACTCAAGCACCACCAAAACACATTCAAAGCAGCAAGGTACAACAATCCATTTAAAAAACGCACTCAGTCTGCCCGTCGCTCAGGGAAAGCTTGCTTGAAGACTGAGGTCTTTGCCTGCTTGTAAAAGGACAGCCAAGATGGGGTCAGGCTGGCCTCCAGTGGGAACGAGTTCCAAAGTCTGGAAGCAGCCACAGAGAAGGCACCTCTCTTGTATCACCACAAAACGCACCAGTGAAGATGGCAAGACTGAGAGAAAAGGCCTCCTCTGATGATCTTAAAACCCAGCCAGACTCATAAAAAGGGAGTCATGGTCCTTGAGATAAGCAACTTAGACTCAGGCCATGTAGGGGCTTATAGATTAGATAGAAGCAACACCTTGACTTCAGCCCGGAATCAGATTGGCAAGCCGTGGCACCACTGCAACAGCAGGGTTGTGTGATCCCTGTCACCAACCCAGTAAGCAATGTGGCTGCTACCCTGTTTCCCAAAAAAATAAGACCTAAACTGAGAATAAGCCCTAGTATGATTTTTCAGGATGCTCGTAATATAAGCCCTACCCCAAAAAATAAGCCCTAGTTAAGTTAAACCCCGCCCTTTGCCATTGTGCAGCCACCAGAAGATGACATGACTGTATTTGAATAAATATAGATTGTGGTACATGGAAAAAAATAAAACATCCCCTGAAAATAAGTGCTAATGCATTTTTGGAGCAAAAATTAATATAAGACCCTGTCTTATTTTCAGGGAAACATGGTGCATACCAGACAAGGAAAAGGGCCTCTCTGTCCCTTCTCACTGGGCCCCTCTCCCTTTTGCTTCTGGTTTCCAACCCACACAGTAATAATATATTTTTAAAAGATTCTTCCCATACAGCACTGAGGAGCAGGCGCTGAGGAGCAGGCGCACTCCAGAATCCTAGCATTATTCTCCTTACGACAGCAGTTATAGATAACATTTGTTTTAAAAATTCTTACCTACAGAACAGATGGGATTCCTTCTGGATGCTTTTAAGCCAAGACTAAAGGAAAAGGAAAAAGAAAGCTGATTATCACATTCTGTTGTCCATTCCACCTAGGAAACACTTACTTCTGAAATATAATGCGATCCCATGTTAACTCCCAGATAGTTTGAACAGAGAATTTTGGAGACAGTGTAAGTGGCAACAGCCACAAAGCACAAGTGCTTATAAGAGCCTTTGGTTGTGATCCCATGTACACAAACGTACACAGAAGTCAGGACCACTGATCAAGGAGGACTTAATTCCAAGCAAACAAGCAGAACTGTTATCTCATATACCACATCCTACAATGTAGTTTGGAAGAGTGATTTTTAAAGACACAAGCTACAAAGGATGATATAGCAAGGGTTGGAAAAGTAACTCTCAGAATCCACCAGTCAAGGGCTACCCTAGCTAGGGGATTCTGGGAATTGTAGTCCCCTCAAAAGCCTTTCCCAAGCTCTGATTATTACAGTGAAGCAAGCACCAAAGGAAGAGAGCAATGGAGAATCACTTCAGGATGACTTGGGGCAACTTCTATCGCTGTCATAAAAGATCATAATACTGTATATACCTGTCAATGATAATACATTTGCTTAGGATATGAGATGAGGAATGCCATGTTAGTCATCTTACTTGATAAGCACTGACGTTTCTTTCAAAAAGGATTCCGTGGCCAAGCACAGTGCCTAGTGGGACAGGGGAAAAACAAAAACAAAAAAAAACACCTTTTATTCTCCTAGAAAGCAACAATGATTGCAGACAGTTTTCCAAAGTTCATCCAAAGTTACTCTTGCAGAATGCATTTTAGCTCACACCTCTCACTTCCTGTTCACATTTGCAAGTCATCAGTAAACTCTGTGAAATGTTAGTAGAAGTTCTCCTTAGGCAGTTTTTTCCTTTGTGGCAGACTGTCTAGAAGAGGTTTTAAAATGATATTGTTTGCATTTTGTTGCTTCTAAATCTGTTTTAGCCATGCTCTGCTTCCTTACATCCTTAATATAATGCTATTAATTTGTTTAATATTGGAATAATTCACTGTTTTTAGCTTTAATATTGTGTTTTGGCTAAAGCCAGTACTGTATCTAGACTGATTTCGATGCTGCTAGAATGCTATTACTCTGTGTGTAAGCCACCTTGTGGTTCTTTATTAGGAAAAAGGTGGGGTAAAAATATTTTAAGTAAGTAAATAATAATAACTCCTTAACTTCATAACAGACTAGAGCCACAGAGAGACAGATGCCTCCAATTTCACTTGTTTGCACATTTTATCACTTACATGTGGGGTACATTTCTTTGGCAGAATATCATAAGGGTTCGGGAACACAGGTGGCTAAATCAGACTAGAACACTTATATTTTAAGAATATAATGCCTAGAAGGTGTGTCATACTAATTGGCAAGAGCTGTTGTCCGAAACATTTTCAATGCTCCAGACTGAGCTTGTTCTTGATGTCTCAGTTCCAGACTTCCATTCCATACGGCACACCCCTTATATGATTTACTTGGAAGGCCACTCCCTTCGATGTTAGTTTTAAAAACAGACATTGGAGATCTTGGGAAAGTATACAGTGGCAACTACAATTAACTACTAGGATAAGGAACACCTTAAGGCTTCATAAGCTGACATTTGTTAGCTTTGTTAGAAAATGACTAGAACGGGACCTGACAGAGGTTTATAAAATCCAAATAAAACAGAGACAACCGCACCGAGTGGACAATAATTAACATACCAGTACACTAATAAATAATAATTACATACCATCAAGTTGGCTGTGAAATATATTTAAGAGGTGACTGACAACAAATTATTGATGGCACACACTGAATGCATTCAAATTTATTTGTTGTTGTTTAGTCATTAAGTTGTGTCCGACTCTTTGTGACACCATGGACCAGAGCACGCCAGGCCCTCCTGTCTTCCACTGCCTTCCGGAGTCGGGTCAAATTCATGTTGGTAGCTTCGGTGACCCTATCCATCCATCCCATCCTCTGTCGTCCCCTTTTCCTTCTGCCTTCACAATTTCCCAACATCAAGATCGTTTCCAGGGAGTCTTTTCTTCTCATGAGATGGCCAAAGTACTGGAGCCTCCGATTCAGGATCTGTCCTTCCAGTGAGCACTCAGGATTGATTCCCCAAAGTACAAAATGTATACTTTGTCTTGTTATTGTATTGTTTTATATTCTGTTTTATTATACAGTGGTGCCCCACATAGCAACGATAATCCGTGCAGCAAAAATCGTCGCTATATGGATTCGTCACTATGCAAAATAAAAAAGCCCATAGGAATGCACTGAAACCCCTTCAATGCATTCCTATGGGCTTAAAACTTACCTTTTAATCAAAAATCCTCCATACGGCGGCCATTTTTTACCTGGCGGCCATTTTGGAACCGCTGATCAGCTGGGGAAAAATCATCGCTATGCGAAAATCGGTAAGCGAAACAGCTTACCGATCATAGCAAAGCAATTTTCCCCCATAGGAAACATTGGTATTCAATCGCAAAAGCAAGCGCAAAAACATTGTCGCTATGCGGATTCGTCGTTAGACGGGGCGCCCGTTATGCGAGGCACCACTGTACCATGTAAACCGCCCAGAGTGGCCTGGGTATGTGTGTATGAATGAATGCATTAAAAGCTTCCAAGCTTTTCTATCAGCAAGTGAAAAGCCAAGACTGACAAGGGGGAGGCAGTGCAACAGGAAGGCACCATTGTATATGTGAGTCCCCTTGGTCTTCTGTTTCAGCCATTGCATTCAGTTCACCCACCTGCCAGCCACTGCTGTCAGGCCTTCGACAGACCCTGAGCACAACCTTCTTCAGCATTTTGTGGGGTCTTCCACCAGTCCTGTGGGGCTGTCTGGTTCTCCCCCCCCCAAGAATCTTCAAGATCAATTTGTTTCTATGAGCACATTAGGAAAACCATCACCACCCAAGCAGACCTGGGCAAAGTGCAGCCCTCCAGATGTTGCTGAACTGCAAATCTCAACACTCCTCACTGTTGGCTGTGTGGGCTAGGACTGCTGGGAGTTGCAGTTCAACAACATCTGAAGGGCCACATTTTGCCCAGGTCTGCAAAAGGAACCACATCACCCCAAGCTCGATCTGGTGAACATGCTTCATTTCTACCCAGTGGTAAAGGACAGTCAAAAAGGTACAAAATTAAAAAATAAAGACCTGAAGGGAGCATAATGAAAATGACAAGAAATGTGGGAAACAGCACAAATGACAGACCGGTGCCTCAAAGAGGAAGAATCAGGAGAGTCCCTCCCCCAACAATTTTAGCACTCATTCTACTCATTCTTTTAAGGAGACAGCATAAGCCCAAAATGTCCGCCTGATACAGAGAAAACTGACACATCCCCCACCAGCTACAAACAAATCCGATCTTTCTGTCCAATTCAAAACATCAGTGGGTCTCCTTTCACATCCATGTTCCTATGAATCACTGGTCCTAAGACAGACCTCCCTTCTTATCCGTGCAAGGCACCCACCCTTCAAAGGGTAAGGCTGGTTGTTGTTGTTGTTATGTGGCATCATGAATGAATGATCTCAAACAGGTCCCGTCCTCGGCTGCCCTGCTCAGCTCTTGGAGATCAAGCCAGTGGCTTCCTTCAGGGAGTCGGTCCGTCTCATGTTCAGTCTTCCTCTTTTCCTGCTGCCTTCCTCCTTTTCGTGTTTTATTGTCTTTCCCAGAGAATCTTGCCTTCTCAGGATGTGCCCAAAGCAGGACCGCCTCATTTTCAGCATTTCTGCCTTCAGAGAGAATTCTGGCTTGATATGTTCTAGGAGCCTTTCTGGCCGCTCAGGGCATCCGCAAACCTCTCCTCCAGCACCCCATTTCAACCAATTTCATTTTCCCCCCGGATAAAGCCGACCTACGGCCATCATCCCACTGCTAATTTCAGAAGCAGGCCAGCGCATCCAGCTAACAGAACCTGGGGTGACTAACGCTGCAGTTCTACTCACACCAAGAGTTTGGGGAAGTTACTTTTTTTTTGGACTGTAAGATCTCAAGCTGGGGAAATTGGAGAGGGCCCAGATCCAAAAGTTCTATTATTCCCAAACTTCCTCCCCCCGAATCTCTACTACGAAAGGAACCACATGGCACCTAGTGGTGTTTACTCCCAGGTAAGGACTAAATGATGGCCACCTCTCTTGCTTTGCTTTTGCTTAAACCCTTGCCTCTCAGCACTCGACCAAATATTAATACCCGAGGCAGCTGAAGGAATCCCAATAATCTTATATGGCCAATCTGGGGGCCTGCAAAGGATTCTGGGAACAGCCATACCGGTGGCCGAGAGTAAAATATACAAAATATAAAGTCATGGGGAAAGAGAGTAACGGAATAAAGAGGCCTCGGTCAAAGCAGAAGGAGCAGAGGGCGTCCCGTTTTCGCCACGAGGTACATACTTTGCCAAGAGCTGCGCTCATCATCCCCGGCGGCCCCCCTCCAGGCGGTAACCACGGCGACCCAGCAGGAAAAACACGAGCGGCAGTGGGTCCGCCGCGCTTAACTGTCCCCCAAATCCATGCAGGTCCGGCAGCACAAATGTGTCCCTCCAACTCCCTGATTCCTGGACGCACAGTTCCGACGCAGTTCCGTTCTCTTTGAGGCTCCGATGGTCTTCCAATGAAACAGGAGGAGGCTGAGGGAGGAAGCCGCCGCGGCTGCCAATCAGGGACAGCCTCCTCCGAGCGGCTGCTCTGATTGGTTAGGAACGTAGTCTGTAGAGGGAAACGGTGGGACTGGACTCATTCATTCTTTTCTGACCGTTTGGTCGTTGGAGTAAAATCAGTTTTTCCCCCCTCTGAGCAGAAAAACAACTGCCAATGCTATGCGAGATGAGGGGGGTACATACATACATACATACATACATACATACATACATACATACATACATACATACATACATACATACATACATACATACATACATACATACATACATACATACATACAGTGTTTCACCGAAAATAAGACAGAGTCTTATATTAATTCTTGCTCCAAAAAACGCATTAGGGATTATTTTCAGGGCATGCTTTATTTTTTTCATGTACAATCTATGTTTATTCAAATACAGTCATGTCATCTGCTAGTTGCACAAGAGTGGAGGGTGGGCTTTCACTTAACTGGGGCTTATTTTTGGGGTACGGCTTATATTACGAGCATCCTGAAAAATCATACTAGAGCTTATTTTCAGGTTAGGCCTTATTTTCGGGGAAACAGGGTACATAATACATACTCATTTATTTAAAATATATTTACCCGGACTTTCTCCTTAGAAAAAGACCCAAGACGACTTACATCATTAAAAGACAATATTTAAGAACAAAATGAGTATTCAAAGGTGGCATACATCATTACAAGGCAATATTTAAAGCTAAAAACAGTTAAGTATAGAAATCATACGTAAATAGATAACAGCTTTCCCGCCACACTCCGAACACTGCTGGATAACTGCCACTATTTGTGAAACGCATCCATAAGGTCGTAGAATTGTACTGCGGGGAAAACTTCCGGAGGTCCTCTCTAGTCTAAATCCCTGCAGAGGCAGGAAATCCATTACAGTACTTTCTACTCAAAGTATTTGTGGTCTTGGTTTATGCTTCTAGGAAATCCATTACAGTACTTTCTACTCAAGGTAGTTGTGGTCTTAGTTTATGCTTCTTGGGGAATTCCGGGAATTGCAGTCCAAAAACATGAACACACACACCTCCAGTTTCTAGCAGTGTCTGGCAAACAAACGGCCTTGTTAAGGTCAGCGTGTGCTCAGCCACAGAGGAGAGAGAAATAGACTAAATTCAGATCATCCCTCCAAATGAGGCAAACTGATGACTCATGTTTCAGCGTCCACGACACAAACGGGTGACCTGAGGCACTCTGGTACGATGGCTACTTACACATCACCAAAAAAAAAAACCTCAGCCAAAACAGGACACCGGGTGTGTCGAAAATGTGCATGTGCAGAGATGAAGGCACAGCAGTCCTTATCAGCTGGGCCTTATCACCAAATAGCCTACGTGGCGAAAGCAAAGTCTTTATTGAACCAAAGCTGGGATGGATGAACTCCAGAAAGGAGAAGCCATGTGTCCACGGGTCAGAGTCCAAACTTCTGGGGCAAGGGGGTCCCTTTGTTGTTCTTAGGTACTGCTCAGTCACTTCCCATTTATGGCAACCCAGAATTACAGTAATTCTCTCCAGAGGATCTTTCATAAACAGCTCTGTCCGGGCTTTGCAAAATAAAAGCTGTGGCTTTCGTAATGTCTTTATTAGCCTAGCTTTTTTTTAAAGGCCCCCCCAAACCATGTCCAAGCTTTTATAGGTTAGTTTCCCTTCCTTAAGGATGTTACAAAATACGAGGGAAAGAGAGATGGGGAAAGGAAAAGGGGCAGAACAGCAAAAAATAAAATAAAATATGAAGTCTGAATGTCCCTTTCCTGTCCCAGTCATGATGGAGAGGGGAATAACAGCAGATTTTCAAATGTGATCCTTTCAGGTGACCTAATGCTGGGCATTCAGCAGAAAGCGGCCATTCTTCTGGCCCAGAACAAAGAAATAAATAAAATTTAGATCCTGCATGGCTGCAAAATAAAACCTAGCTAGGAATGTTGACCTAACTGTGTCCTGTTTGAAGCTCATAGTCCCTGCTAGGGAGAGCGTGGGCATCTAACTAGACAAGAGTCCATATCAACATGTTTGGAAAATAGATTAAGTTGCATGGGCTTGCCAGCTGGTCCTTCTAGCAGGCTCCCAGGTAGCAGAGTGGCTCAAAAAGTAAGAATAGCAGGTGCACTATTCCTTATTTCGTATAAGAGGTAATACAGTATTACCTTTTCTGTAACATTCTGTTGCTGAGGTTGCAAAGGGGTCAGTGTCTGCCTGAAAACTGAGAGATCAACGGAGTGTTGCAGGGCACTGAAATGTTGGTGACATTCTGCAGCAGAAATGCAGGGATTCACAGAGCAGAAAAGCTTCAAGTTTCCCTTATTCGTCCATCCCTTTTTTCATTTACTGGTACTTACAATCCCAACAATGTACTCTGACCCATCCACAGTAGAAAAAAGTAATTACTTACAACTGAATGGATCAAACAACAAACCGACAAACACGACTGTTTTCAAACAACAGATCTCAACTAAGGAAAGGGAAAGAAAACACAGAGCAGAGAGGCTGGACCCTCTTTGAACTCAGAGGCAAGGAAGGAATGATTGGTCAGTGCTGGATGGATTGACAGTCACACCAGCCCAGAAAAGTCCCTCCCAAGCAAACCTACTAAAGGCAGCATGCGAGACTGCAAAAACTCCAACACTGAAGAGCATCCAGGAATCTCTTGCTCATGGGCAAAGTAATGGAAAAAGTTACTAATGTTCAAATGCCATAATATGGCAGTGTTCCACAGCTTCCTTGCCTTTTATTCGCAAGCTGGCTCTTCCTGCCCACAGCCCATCCATTTTAGCTTGGTTTCGCCACCAGCTGGAAAGTTAAACCAGGGGTGGACAACGTTGCTAAACCAGCCATTGCTAGACTACAACTCCCAGCATGCTGTACCATTTTTTTGTGGTGGCTGGGGCTGACGGCATTCACCACCCAACATCTGGAGTGCTGTCCTTAGTCAATCCCTGGGCTAACAGGCAACCTTGGGAGAGCTGCGCTTTGGCCACATTTAAACTAGCTCCAACGTAGAAGCGTAGGCACAGAGCGGGGAACCTGACACACGCACACCCATGCCAAAGCTCAGACTGGAGCAGAAGGAGTTAGCTGGGTGGCACTATATCGTCTCTATTGCACCTGTCTGGGGGATACAGTGGACCCTCAACTTACAGACGGTTCCACTTACAGACTTTTCAAGTTACAGACTTATCTGGCCGCAAAATTTAGGTTTGACTTGCAGCTGGAGAATCGACCTACAGACCAGGGGAAAAAAAAAAACCCAAAATTGAACAAAAACGGCCAGTTACAGATTAATCAGTTTTCAATGCATTATAGGTCAACGGAGACTCGACCTATAGACTTTTCGACCTGCAGCCACCGTTCCAATATGGATTAATTCCGTAAGTAGAGGGTCTACTGTATTGGGCTTCATATTTTACATTGAACAATAGACGTTCTGTCTATACTGAATATGCATAGGTGCTGAGTCAGGACTTGCCCGTCACATCCCTGAAATGCTGCCACTCATACAGATGTACATGCAAACCAGACAGTGTTGCTTATATACCGCCTCATCGCATTTAAAGCCCTCTTGGGGTGGGTTACAATGTAATTATCCAGGCTACACCTTGTCCTCCTTTCTTCACAGCGAGCTGGGGACTCCATTTACTAACCTTGGCAAGGAAGGAAGGCTGAGTGAACCTCAAGCCGGCTAGCTGAGATCGAACCCGGGTCCTGAGCAGAGTTTTGGCTAAAGTTTAACCACTGTGCTATGAAGCCATTTGCTCACAGTCAGCTATCCAGCAATCAGCATGCTGGCCAAGGAATTTTAGGAGCTTGTAGGCCAAAGAAATCAACATTTCCCACCTCAGCCTCTCTGTGCAGTGGACCCTTTTAATTCATGCTTCATTTTGCATGGCCAGCCAAGCAAGGCTCCCAGGTGTGATCCCACTCCATTCCCATGTGTTCATAGAATGAATGAAGAGCGGATGTGTTCCGCCCCAGAATATCAAATACCTCTTTAAAACATGAAAAAAAACCATTAGTCGTTAATTAGTCATCATTCTTTGTGATTTTACATAGGCATGTATTTTCATAGCATCTCATTCCTATTCCTGCTTATTTAAAGAGAAATGTATGAGTAATGCATCACTATGTGCTGCATTTTAATGGCTTCTTGTTTGACAGTGCACTTGCAAAGACAGCTTTAAAAAAACCCTCAAAAGTAACCCCTCTCCCTCCCCAAGGAGTAACAACCAAACCACATTGGTTACTCTTTAAGGAGCAACATCATGACCAGTCATCAAAATCCATTTTTGGAAAACATCGAGAGCATTTGTGGGTGGAGGCAGAAAGCTCATGTCAAATTAAACTTACCACAAGAGTCTTTTTTTGTTGTTGTTGTTAAAAGAAGAACATCGCTCTGCCCTCGTTATCCCAAGCATGATACGTAATGCCGGCTATTTGTAGCAACTTCTTCCCAGCTCTGACACATGCACACTTTGAAATTTTGTGGAGTACACCGGAGCTTATTTCAGTTCAAATCAGCTTGCTCCTGAGGCATTTGTCATCCTTTGGAGAAGCAGGGAAGGGAGGAAGCTTCCTCTGAGTCATCATGAAATCTGGGAGAATGCAGGAATAGAAGCAGAGGGATTATGAACTGTGGTTCTATCGGTGCTTGCTCTCCCCTGCAACGCATTGCTAAGGCGGAGGCTTGCATTTCGAGTCATCCAGAGGTCTAGCATTTCCAGTCACCCCCGTATGGGTGTGAAAGCTGGACAGTGAAGAAAGATGATGGGGAAAATGTTTTGATTTGTTCGATATGTGGTGCTGGAGGAGAGAGCTTTGTGGATGCCCTGGAGTGCCAGAAAGATGAACAAGGGGCGGGTCCTAGATCAAATCATGCCTGAACTCTCTCCAGCAGCAAAAATGTTGAAACTGAGGCCACAGATTATCTGAAAAACACAATAATATTG